TTTTTTTAATGGGTCCGATAGGGTTTTCTGTCACACAGTTGTTTTTATTTCCATTTGGGGAAGAGGAAGGCCAGCAGGGCACATCCCCGTAAAGCAATATTTTCTCATCACATGCCAAAAAAAAAAAAAAATGCAGCCAAGGAGCCCAGCGCTCCCCGTCCCCCACCCCCGCCCGGGCAAAGCACCCCTGCGGGGCCCGCGAAACTTCAGGCACTACTTGACTCTTTCTCTACGGCAATATCTCTCCCGTGGCCTCCGCAGAGCCACACCATTGTTTTTTATTATTATTAGCCATTTAAAAAAAAAAAGAGGAATAAAAGGATATTTAATGAGCCACCCCAGCAGGCATGCGTGTGCTTTGTTTAGCGTCCAGGGACGGCACAGGGTTCCTGCCCTCCCTCTGCTCCAGGGGGAGAAGAAGGGGTGGGGGGAGCTGAGGAGACCCCAAACCCAGCCCCGTTTTGGGGAGGCACCTGCTCAGGGTGGTTTTGGGCAAACTGCTCCCACAGAAGAGTAAGTTTCTTTTGGGGCAGGAGAAAAGCGGCTCCAGGGGTGGTGGAGCAGGAGCTGCTGAGGCTCAGGCTCCCACGAGAGACACTGGGACCAGAGGAGGACCCTGAGGTGACGTCCCAGTGCCCACGACAGCACCCGGGTTGCTCTGCTGGCGGCCACCACTGCCTGGGGACAGGCTGCCTCTCCAGGGTGACTCCTGTCCTCACCAGGCCTGGGAGCTGAGGGGCAGGGGGGTCAGAGCCAAGGTGGGAGCCCCCCACACACTGCTGCACCCTGCTTGGGGGGAGCAGGGCAGGAGGCACCATCCTGCCTCCCAGAGCGCAGCATGTCGGGGCGGTGCCGACCCTGTGCCCCCCTTGCCATGGGCTCCCCTGGTCTCAGCTCATCCCCTCGCCCTGACGGCCCAGGGTTGCAGCAGCCACTGCCACCAGCCCCTCCTCAGAGCAGAGACTTTAATTAAAAGGTGACTAAAAAAGAGAGGCCCCGATGCACCGGGTCGTTTTGGTATAAAAGGTCAAGGTCAGGAACTCCAGTGCCAGCAGAGTCTGTGTTCCAGGGGGCTGCTGGGGTGTCCTCTCTGCCGGGAGGGGGAAGGACAGGCCAGCCCGAGCCCCCCCACCGAGCGCTGCAGGAGGGACGGGTCCCTCTGGGGTCAGTCCGGCCGTTCCCGATGGCTGGGGGATCCCCGGGGCAGCCTCACCGCAAGCTGCTGCTGCTGCTGGCCTGGGAGCTGCCCACCCCCGGGTGCTCTGGGCTGTGCCGGTTCTGCAGAGGAAGGACAGACAGACACGTATCCCCTGAGACCTCCTGCTCCACAGCAGCACCCCCAGGGAGCGGCTGCTCGCTGCCCCCTGCCCTGGGCCAAACGTGCTGCCAGGTGGGCCCCCAGGGTGGGCACAGGCTGGGAATCAGGCCCTGGCTCTCCCCACCCACCTTCTTTTTCTTCTTCTCTTTCTTCTTCCTCTTCCGTTCTGGATCCTCTTCTTTTTTCTTCTTTTTCTTCTTGTGGTCGGAGTCCGAGGGGGTTTCTGGAGAAACGAGAGCGCTGGGGGAGCTGGGCATCCCCCGGGGCTGGACGGACGAGGGGGCGGCTGCGGCAGCGAGGCGCAGCCCCTTACCTGGGGGGACGGGATCCTGGGTGCGGCTCTGCTTGTGCTTGTGCTTGTTCTTCTTCTTGGGCGGCTGGATGTGCATCAGCCGGCACTGCTCGGGCAGCTGCGGAGGGGAGACGGGGCTGGTCAGGCCAGGCCGGGCACCGCCCGCCCCCCGCAGCCGCCCCCGGCTCTCGGCCCCGGGCTCACCGGGCCGGCGTGGAGGCGGAATCCCGTCAGCATGGTGCCGGTGAGGGGGGTGAAGGAGCTGCTGCAGATGGGGGGCTTCTCGATGAGGGAGCGCAGGCTGCTGTTGTCGTGGGAGCCGGGCAGGTCGATCATGCCGGGCAGGTCGGGCAGGAAGTTGCTGAGCTTCTCCTTCACCTTCTTCCCGCAGAACTTGTTGTAGGCGTGCTCCAGGTTGTAGTGCGTGATCAGGTTGGTGCTGCCCGTCAGCTCCGTGGTGCCTGCGCCAGCCGCCGCCGCGGGGAGGGACAGGGTGAGACGGAGGGGCTGGGCCCCCGCCCTCTCGCCGGCCCCGCCCCCCC